TCGTCCATCTTGAACCACCAGAAAAGACAGGATTGTGTCACCAACTGCTATGCCTCTAGGATCAATCCGGTCTCATAAAAGATGGTACTGTCAGTTTTAAGAGAAAGAAAGATCACAAGGAAGGCAGTTGACCACCCCACCTCATTTGTGTTTGGCCTAGAATATGGGAAGGCCTTAACAGTGCAACAGCAGTTTCTTCTATGGGACTGCCTTAACTTTTTGTAAAAGACAAATATATTCTTCCATGGATGTGTATTGACGGCCCTAATGTATTACGTTTTACCTTCACTGGGCGGAGGCACATTGGGGAAATTAACTTGGCTCTGGGGGACCCACTGAAAATGGGTTCCAGGCAGCATCCTAGGATGTATCAATGCCGGCATGATGTTGATCACATTTCGTTTTTTTTTTTTAAAGGTCCCTTTTCCACGCCTTTAGGCATATAGGGCTAGACCTATATTTTTATAGACCAGTCAGCACGAGATGGGCGATGTGGTCAGCATCACGCCGGCCATCTTTACTTCCCAGGACTGCACTCAGTACCTACTCCAAGCTGGGTTGACCTGGGAGTCAAGATCATTTTTGAAAAAAGTCCAGCTCTGCCAGGGAGCGAACCCACGATCTTCTGATCCGCACACAAGGGTCTAGCCGCTATGCTACGGCTACTCCTGATCACATCTCTTTATTAAGTGCTAATTGGTCTGTTAAAAAAATGTCTAGCATCTTATGCTTGAGTGCTGCGGGTGTGAAAAGGGTCCTTTAATTACTTACTATGTATGGGTGTAAACAATAACAGACATACCATATCATTTGGTAATTGGTAATGTTTATGTATTTTAAATTCTGTTTAAGCATAAAACAAGTGACAGTTTGATGCAGGCAACTTGAGAATGATATTCTTCGCCATATCTCAACATACTTTTTGCAGAACATCATAAGTAATACTATACAGCGGTAACAGCATATTATCAGTGTAACCTTCAATGAAATGTGTGGCATACGAATCAGCTAGACTTGTTCTACAAGAAATGCTCCCACTGAAAAGAACTGGTAGAAGACATGTTAATGGTTACACTGATGTTTACTAGTTTATAAGGACATTTGATGTGTATAAAATGATGGTTGGGAGGTTGTGTTATGGTTTACAGCTAGGCTGCAATATCTGCACTTTTCAGCCCAGCACATTTGATTTCAGCATACCTTCTACCACTAAGGAAATGCTTGTTGAGGGGCAATAAGTTTGTTTATCAAACCCCCCCCCCCCCCCACCCCCCTTTCTATGGTGGCATGGAGCCCTCACATAAAGAAATAATGCATTGTTTTACATTATTACTAATCACACATACATACCTATATGCATTCTTACATATACATCTGCATACACATACCTACATAGATTGTTGATAATAACATTAAAGATTGCATAAAAATGTACTTTTTTTTTTTTTTTATGTAAGTAGAAGTTGCCAGAAGATGGGAGTTGTTAATTTCAGGAGAAACTGCAACGTGTTTAAAAAAATATAAATCAGCATAGCTTTGCAAATATATAATACCATCAACCAATAAAATTAAATGTAAAAGTGCCAGATGTATTTGTAGCATTTTTTTTTTTTTTTTTTGGTTGGCGCTGAAAAACAAACATAATTTCTTATACTTTTTAAATACCAAGAGATTTTGTAGCAAATGCTCAAGAGGGGAGCCGTTATAAATGGTAAACAGAAGCTAAATGTGGCCACGTGCTCAAAATCTTGATTATGCTCTGACCAAATTTTAAATAAAAGAGAACACATAATGCACTGTCTGATCTCCAAGGAGGATCCACCTCATCACATACATGTATTGTTTGGGACTAAAAGACTTCAAATAGATTGTGAAGTTTTATTTCTTCACCACTGTTCATTTACCATTACCGTTTCTGAACTGCCAGCTTAGTTTCAATCATTATTTACTGACCTGCTAATTTTTTTTTTTTTTTTTTTTTTTTTAAATTATTTATGAAGACGCATTTCCTTTAGGTTTAGGCATTTTTTTTGTATGTGGGGGCAATAATTTTTAACCACCTTCCATAGTGCATGTGGTTTCTCATCATGCTACCTGCAACCTAAATATCACACTGGATTGTCTTGCAATTCATGCCTGTAAGATCTCTCCTCCTCTGTTTGTTTAAAAGCATGGTGGAAAGCAGCCTTGTTCAAGACTGCAGAAAGAAGTAGTGGAGGGTTTATTTTGTACACTGTTGTAAACACTTTTAAAATATGTATTAGAAAACAGTATATAAATAAATTGTATGCCATTTTTTTAGCTACACATTTTATCTGTAAACATGCAGAAATAATGACAATTCTGAGCGATAAACTGTTGTCACAATTTATTATAGCAGTGTGTAACTTGTTTATAATAAATGAGAAATAAAGATTACTAGAAATGTTTGAAACCTAAATGAGTAATCTGTTTATTTTTGGTTCAGAATGATTTTTCTTATAAGTAAAGAACTTATTTTGTGCCAGTGGTGGTGCATTGGGCATATGATGCTCGACTCATGATTGGCACTCAATGAGTGATGGGGTCAGTATCATGCAACTGCCTTTACTTTTTGTGACATCACCTGTTACCTCTTATAGGTTGAGTTGAGCAGGGAGCCAAGGTCAGTTCTGGTAAAACTCCACCATTTTATGAATGCAAAATCAAGACCTTTGTGCCTGCAGGTATTCTGATATTTTTAAATCCAGAGCAGCCTCTGACTCTATGCAGTTTTAAATAATGCCTTCTTATTATTGGAACCTCAACAGTTCAACTTGTCTTGATAATTGAGGACTGGTAATGATTTATTTTTAATTTGTTAAGACTTAAGTGCTGATTGTCAGCCATCATTATGGGCATTTACTGTAACTCTCTTGCAGTTTTACAGCTAGCAGAGTTTGCAGTCCTGAGCATTATCAGACTGGTTGATTCTTCCTTCATTAGCTGAACTAACTAATTAGTTAGTTGGGTTATAATCATTGCACTCCGGACATGTCCATAGGTGCTCAGATTCTCCCCTCATTATGAACCCCAACGTCCGATGGCTAATAGTACCAGTTCTATGTTGATTAACAAGTCTTCTGGTGTGTCTGGTGTGAGTCTCGTTTTTTGTTATGATGATCTTAATTCCCAAGTCTGCCATTCTGGCGAGTGATGTAGATTTACTGCCCCCAAAGTCCTCTATCCTTCCCATTTCTCTGAGAGCATTAATAATATCAGCATGATCCATAGGCTGACCATCGGTAGTGATAGCGGATCCGGCCAACCTATCAGCTTTCATTTCCATCAACGCCTGCATTTCTCGGAATATAAATAAAGGTAACTCCACGCACAGTGGACTTCTGTAATGACTGAAGCCATTGTCTTTGCACCGAATCTGCCTGAACCTTCCGGATCATACTTCATTGAATCACTGAGTATACATACGCAGGTGTAGTTTTGTGTTTCGAGCCAGGCGAATGCTTGCGTTACTCCCATCACCTCCATCGTCATGCTGTTGGTTGTCATGGAGAAGGTGTCGTTGGCTTCTTGGACTGTTCTGCCAGCTGAGCGTGCTGTGAATGCCCATGCGCTTCTTTTTTGGAGTATAACAGATCTGTCTGTGTAGATTAGGGCATCTGCTTCGTCTGAATTTTCACTGATGAGAGTGGTGATCTCTGCATTAATAGCAACAAGATTCTCTTCTCTGCATCGCCTTTTGAGTGTGGCAATACAGGAAAATGTACAAATAAATGCATGAGGCACAGGTATATACTCTGCACCAGGTATGATGTCGGTTAGGCTGCATATTTGCCTAATAACATCTTCTGCCCGACCTAGCTATGATTTTACCCCTCTTCAGCCTGTCGCCCTTTTCACTAAAAAGCGCTTGATGCAGTGGGTGTTTCTTATCAGCACATATTTCAAGGTATGCCTGGGCCCTCCAGATCCTGATCCTTTGGTTCATAGTTGGAAAGTCAAATAGATAATTCATTGCTCCACAGAATGTGTCTCTTGTACATCCCAAATTAATGCCATGGCTTCATTTTGCACCCTTTTCAGTCATTCAGTCTGGGTAGCACTGACAGTGAGGATGGCCAGAGCGTATTCAATGGGGGAAAGGACCAGAGCGTAGATAGAAGTATTAGTAGTCTTTGCTCGATATTGGAAGCAGCCATAATCCTCATTGCAGATAGATCTTTGCATGCTTTTGTTATCACATTGTCAATATGTCCCTTGAATGACAAGCTGCGATCAAACCTCACCCCGAGGAACATCATAATGTTGGTTCTAATCAACACATTATCATGCATTTCTCTTGTGGTAAGTCCAACTTGACAATGTGATTGTTCAAAGAGAACCATGCCACTGAACCCTTCGAAAGATTGACATAGGCATTGGAACCATCACACCAGGCGGCAATTCGATCGAGTTTTTTGTGCATTGTACTGGCGATCTCCTGTCTATCACACCCTCGTCGATAAATCAAAATGTCATCAGCAAATAACAAAGTACTTCCCTTTCCATTCAACTGCTGCTTAATGATCATCACCGTATAAACGTTGAATAAGACTAGTGATAGTGGTGATCCCTGTGGCAAGCCTGGACATATCGTTTGCGGTTTTGAGGACCAGCTACCACATCTGAGTACTGTCTTTCTCTGGAACAGAACCGCAGCAATCCAGCAGTAATTGCATTAAATATTCATATGGTACTTTATTGTAGTGATCTTCTAAGTCCACCGCTGCCACACATGTCTCTTCTGAACTGTCTGCCCCTAAAGTCCCAGGATAGGTGTAAGTCTGGCCTTGATCCGTATTAAAGCTGCCACTTGATGACATCTCTCTGCATCTCAGATTCCTCCATTACGTGGGAATAGATTTCAGAGCACTTTTCACTGCCCATTACACTTCCATGGCTCCCCATCCCCTCCCCACTACTTGATAGTATAATATTGATTCCATTGTTTATGGTGGTGTATTGTTTTTGTTTCATTTCAGAGGGCTGTGGTTTGATAAAACTTATGGCAACTTGCTGAAAGTGGATTCCTATGGCAACATTCTTGTTTGTGTACATGGATTTCAGTTTCTGAAACCGTAAGTACTGGGAAGAATCTTTGTTTCTTTTAAAATTGTTAAAGCTGTGAGAATATTCATGCATTGTTAAAGATTCCATTATTGTTTAATTATTCCTTTGTGTGCTTAATAATCAGGGATTAAATACATAACACTAGGATGCATTGTCAGTAATACCAGTTCTAGTCAATTCTTTCTCCTCCTTTTTTCAGATCTCTAAGGCTGTATTACCATTGTTTGTTGCCCCCAGATCTTTTCCATATTCCCCCAACACTGGGGGGGGGGGGGGGGGGGGGGTGTCTTTCTGTCTCGCTTTTCTCTCTGCCTGGCACTCTCCGCAGGGCTGATAATGGAGATACTATGAATGAAGTGATTTAGGTCTCATTGATGTATTGTTTTAACTCAATAATGTTCCACATGTTTCTATGAAGTACACACAGTTTGGGCTAGAAAGTGTTTGACGAACCTGTTGCCTAGGACTGGAAGATTTAATATCCTGTCGGAGATGTGTGAGGGGTATTCAGAAAGTAATGGCCCACATTTTACTTCTTGCACACTGTACACAATTAATGAAATTCACTGATAACTTAATTCATTATGTCCTTTACACATCATAATCGTCTGCTTAATCAGTGTCCATTTTTTTAATAATCTAATGCCAATATGAAACAAGGGCATGCATGCCTTGCCTGTATCAGGTTTTATCTGTTCATGTTGACATTTCTTCACTGCATGGATAAATCTCTAGGTCCACCTCTCCATTTTCTGAAACTTTAAATCTCTGAACCCAGTGATCAGCAGTGCTCCTTTTGAATAACTGCACAGCTTCCACACACCACACATAAACATGCCCCTCGTTCTGTATCTGTGTGGGAGGTGCACAAATGAAGTGAGGTTGACTGTGGTAAATGTGTAACATTGCACTGAATAACAGGACAGACCAGAAGTGGAGAGAGAGCTCATAAGGCTGTTTTCACGTATAGTTATTATGGTCTAATAACTGACCAGTCATGAAACACAAATGCAAGGATTCAAACTCAGTCATAGAAAAAGAAGGCATGTGTTATTGTATGTGTTTGTTTGTTGAAGGGAGAAGAAAGGTAGATGTGGAGAGGTATTTGTTAATCTGTGGAGGTAAGAAAGAGAAGAGGTAGAGAGGAAAAAGTTAATTTGTGGAGGTGAGAAAGAAAGGCAAGGAGGCATGTGTTAAAAGGCATTTATGGGCAGAGATGATATGGAGAGAAAGGTATGTGATAGTGTGTGGAGGAGAGAAAGAGAGGTAGTGAGATATGTACTAGTTTACCTGTGGGGTTGAGGGTATAAAAGCGATAGAGAAAGAGAAGGTTGTGCATTAGTATGCATGAGCGTGTGGACGTGAGAGAGGGAGACAGAGACGTAGAAGCAGAGAGTTGTGTGATTGTTTGTGGAGGAGAGAAATAGCTAGAGAGATATCGACATCTGGTATTGTTTAGACTTCTGAAAAGGAATTGACTCAAGAACTTGGGGATGAGTAGAAAGATTGGTGGGGAAAAAAAAGCAAGGGTAAAACATAGATATAAATATGCAGGCGTGGATTTTGATTATGGTATCGGGAGTCACAGGTCGACCCAGCCTAAAAAAGGTACCAGGATTCCTGTCCTGGGGAAGTAAAGACGGCCAGCGTAATGCTGACCACATTATCCACCTAGTGCAGATTGGTCTATAAAAATATGGACGCTCTTACCATATACCTGATACACCTAAAGACGCAAAAAGGGATCTTTACTTTTACTTTAAATATGTGGATGGCCTAACCTTATGGACGGGAGGGGGGGGGGGGGACAAGAACACTGACCTAATCTGGGATTTTGGGATCTAATGAGATGGTGAAACATAGAGCCTACTCTAAACACCATGGCACATTATGATAATTTTGTCTTATACATTGTAATTCAGTAAAACCTTGTTAACATAAACTCACTTAGGGAGAACAGTCAGCTAATTAACATGAACACAACTTTGATCCCAGCAGGAATGTTTTATTAATCCCCGGTGATCCCATATACTGCTTTAAAAAAAAAATTTTTTATTTTTTTCATTTGTTTCCTTGATTTTCGTGTTAACAAAGAGTTACTGTATTTTTTCCTGATTGTGATGCATAATGTATACTGCATGTTTGACACTGGCAGGCACGAGGTTGCTGACCTGTATCCAAACAAGTACATCCACCTGGATGATAAGAGAATCTATGTCCTGAACACGCTCTTCAACATACCAGGTATGAGCTAGCATCAGCAGGTATATATTTGCTCTACTATCCATGATGTTCCATATAAATATGAGGAAGACTGAGCACAGATATACATGTGCTGAGCGCTATCATTCAGTGGTGAATGGCAAAGTTAAATGATATTAATTTAACATAGTGAGTAAAGGTCCTTCTCATGCTTTGAATCACTTTAGGCATATGGGGCAAGCCTCCTATTATTAGATCAATTGAAACTTGATATGTGATGTGATCAATATCATGCTAGTGGGTTTTACTTGTCAGGACGTTTCCTAGTGATTACTTTAAGCTGAGTTGACCTGTGAACTCAGGACAGTTGTAAAAATTCATCTCCATGTTCATGGTTTGAACCTTTGCCTACTCGGCTAGAAGGCAGGCATGCTAATCACTGAGCTAGCATGCTGTGTGGTGGAAGGGCTGTAACACACACACAGATTCTGACATTTTGTAAAGTTGGATTAATTAATAATACATTAAATGAGTATTGTCAAATGCTGCGTATAATCAGCCCTGCTGTTGAGTGCGTAGACATGGACAGTGAACAAGCAGTTAAAAAATATAATTGAATCTCTAAAGAAAGGGTTTAATTTTATTGGAGAAAAACAAATCCAGACGTTCTTAAGAGACAGAGATTTAAAACTTTCTGAAAACAATAAAAAAAAAAAGAAGAAAACATTTGAAGTAACAGAGCCACATTAAAAGACATAACATTTTAATAAAAATCAAAGGAGTGTCAGAAGTTGAAGACAGATGAGCGAGAGGTAGACAGTGATACAAGTGGGAAGTTGACATCAGTTTTAGGAACAGTGGTCTCATGTGAGTGTATAGCTGGAATGGAGGACAGCATGTTGGAGACCCATTGCAGCCAGCCTGCTTTGTTGAGTCGATACTTGATTTATTCGTTCATATATTAACACTTACACCACAAGATGATCCACAAATAAATCAGCCCCGCTGCCTGTGGCAAATTCACGGGAAGCATATAAATCAGCTTTGCTGCATTAGCCAGTTCCTGAACAGCCTAGTTTGCGGTATTGATTCTGTTTGCTGTTTACGCCTGTACAGTGTTTAAGAGGACTAGATCTTGCTAAAGTTACTAAGAATAGCATTGTAAAGATAGGAAAAAAGGGGCCGGGGGAAGGGGGGTATTTGTGGAAAAAATACATTTTTCAATCATTATGCATGATGACATCATAATTCCCCTTTAGCAGTCACATAGCAGTGGGATCACAGTGTGAGCTAGGATATAGAATGCACTCCATTTAAATGTTATCTCTATTCATGTTTATTCATTACTCCTGTTCATATCTAAAAAAAAAAAAAATGTTCAAATGGGGATATTTCTACATTTTGTAAAATAAATTTATTAGTGTTTTGTGTAACAAAAAAAAATTAATAATTTTTTTGTGGGTTGGAGTTGGGGTGGGGGCAGAGGGGGGGGGGGGTGGATAAATTCCTGGGTTCTTGGTATTTTTTCTTGGTTTTTAGGGCGAAAGTATTTGCTGGATACAAAATTATGATAGTTTTTTTTTTTTTTGAACACTGGCCCCATCGAGTTAAAAGAACTTTGTAACCAAAAATTTCTCTGGGGAATTTCTCTTACCCGACTTTCAAGAGTAGTTCCATGTCTGGTAATTTCAGAGGTGGTTTCTCATAGTTTAATATTTATTGTAATTTTTTTTTTTTATTATAAAAAGAGATTTTAATAGATTTTTCTCCATCTATTGCTAGGTAGGTTTACTTCGAGTTTGGCACTATAATAATTAGTGGTCTTCAATGTAAATTCATAATTCCCATTTTTTATGTTGTCCCTAGAAACCTACATGCTAGCCTGTGTTGTTGATTACTTTGCCAGCAACAAGGAATACACCAAGTATGTTCATATGTATCTGATGTATTTTAAATAGTTTTAGAATTTTAAATATGCACATATATCTGACGTATATTAAAATAGAGGAATTGTAGAATTCATATATTCACATGAAACTTAAAAGTATCTAAAGCATGTTTAACTAAAATTTAAAAAGTAAAGGATCCTTTTCCACACTTTCAGGTGCATTGGGCATATAGGGCTAGACCTATATTTTATAGATCAATTGATGCTTGGTGGGTGATATGGTCAACATTACGCCGGCCGCCTTTACTTCCCAGGACTTGTACCTGCTAACCACTGAAGGCTTGGGTCATCCTTAGAGCCAAGATCATTTTTGAAGATAGCCTGGTTCCGTTAGGGCCCGAACCCACCACCTTCCGATCTGCAGGCGAGCCTAAAATGATTACCAGGGAAGCAGAGATGGCCAGTATGATGTTGACTACATCAGCCATCAGGTGCTGATCAGTCTGTATAAATGTGGGTCTAGCAGCATGTGTTTGATGCCCCGCTAGCATGAAATGGGTTCTTCACTTACTCCAGAGCCAGATGCCCTTCCCCTGTTGCTGTCATGTCATGATGATTTAGCAGTTACAGCATCAAAAGTTTACACTACAAATCACTTATGAAAAGACATGTATATTGAAGACATCAGTAGCAAATCAAGCAGTGAAGAAAAGGAAATAAAATTAGCAGATTTAATTATCTATGTATATATATATATATATATATATATATATATATATATATATATATATATATATATATATATATATATATATTATATATATATATATATATATATATATTTTATTTTTTTTTTTTTTTTTTGCATTAGCCTTTAAAAGGGCACTTGCCACATTGTGTTGTGGTTTACAGCTAGGCTGCAATATTTGCGCCCATCGGTCCAACACAATTGATTTAAGTAAAACTATAATTAGTTGCCTCTTAATTTGTCTTACGGGAGGGGGCTCCTTATATTTTGGCAAAGGAAGAGGGAGAAGATGCTAGATTGTCTGGCAGAGTGATATAGAGGACCATCAAGAGACCTTTTCCTGTTGATTATGAAGAATTGGGGGGGGGGGGGGATAATGCTATAATTAAAATGCATATTTATTATTTATAATTTTTATTCTTAAATCCATTCCATTTTTTTTTCTGTATACTGAAGATTAAAGACCTAATGTTAGTTAAATCTGTATTAGTTTTACAGTAATTCAGATAATATTTGTGCATATAACATAATATTTAGTATTTAATGATGCATATATTCCTGTTTCGTAGAACAAAAACCGGAATTACAATGGGAAGTGTCCACATTTCATACAAGTCCATTTTTCAAGATGTCCGAGGTGCTGTTGATTGGCTCCACTTACATGTAAGTTTTGCGTCTTTATATGCGTTGAATTCACTTATTTCCTCTATATTTATAGAAATGCTAGCTGTTTGGCTTCACTTACATGTAAGGGTGTGTTTCAGTGTGCTGTGAAATCCCTAATTTCTTGTTTCTTCATAGACAAGCTGTTTGTTTGTCCTTCAAGTGTCACCCTTGTTGATGCCACTTCCAAATCTTTGTTCTGTAGTATTTCTATTTCTATTTTGTTATCATGGCGTGAATTTATGGCATTGTTTTGCTTGGTCTTTCTTCCAAGCGCATCCAGTTTTAGTGTGTTATTATATCCATAAACTTTGAGTGTGATCTACTTGCAAGACAGATTTGCCATTCAGTCTCTACATCTTGTACTGATAAGTATCAGTTTAGTGTCATGGAGTATAAACTTGTTTAACATGCTAACAGGTTCTAAAACAACAACAAATAAACTTAAAAAAAAAAAAAGAGAGAGGGAATTCTTTAAATGGCACTGTTGCATATTATTTGTTGTACGTTTTTGTTTTTTTTGGTCGAAAGGGCTGCCTGCAAAGAACATACAAAAGGAAATGCTTCCTGTTTATGTTGACAGATGTTTATCCCATAAAGTGGTGCATAGCTGGGTGAAATGTACAGGCCTGCTGACAGTGCCACAACACATACATGAAAATGTGGTTTAGAAAACAGAGGATGCTGTTTTGTGCGGTACGTTGTGGAGGACTGATAAAACGATGGGACAAATGCATCAGTGTTGGTGGAAATTATGTTGAAAAATAAAGGGACAGTGTATGTGTAAAAATAAACGGTTTTAAAATTGTTATCTGCAGTTTTTTTAAATTAACTATTTGTGACTTATTGATTCCCCCTCGTATTTGACTGCTTGATGTCTTCCCAATTTATCAGAGATGGGCAGGCTGAGAGAAAATTTGCTGGTAAACTTTATTATAAGGATATTATGAAGTATTTGTGAAGGTCAGATATTTGAGTTCCTTTGCAGTATTTGCCAAAGGATTACATGCAGATAGTATCTTAAGTGCTACCACTTTTAACAACAGTGAAAATATGGTAAGTAAAGTAAAAGTAAAGTTCCCTTTTCACGCCTTTCGGCGCATCGGGCATATGGGCAGAGCGTCCCATATTTTTACAGACCATCAGCACTCTGTGGGTAATGTGGTCAGCATTACGCCGGCTGTCTTTACTTTCCCAGGACAGCCCATCCTGGTACCCATACGGACATGTAAATTTGTCATTATATTGTCTTTTAGAATATAATACTTTCTTTGGTCTTAACGTTGTGGCTTTTGTTTTGCAAGTAGAAATGTACAGTATTATATATTTATTTTCTGTAGACAGAAATACAACACGTTTCCAATTTTTTTTAAACCATTCATTTATATTATTGTGAAAGGGTTCCTGTAAATTGTTCTTTCTAGGGAGAAATGAAAAACTGTACTGTAGCCAACCTAGACAAATATGTTCATCGTGATGAAAAGCTTCCTGTTCTTCTTGAAAGGTGAGTTGAATTATCTTCACTCTTCTTCTCTCTCCTTCTTTCTCCTGCCTCTCCTTTTCTCTTTTTGTTTCTTCTTCTGTCTCTAATTACCACCTCGTAACCCACTCTCTCTTTTAACTTGACTTTTTAAGTCTTTTTTCCTCTTCTCTTCCTCTCTTCTGCTTCTTATTTCTTTTCTGTTTATTGTCTCTTTTTTGTTTCTTCTCTCTTTTTCTTCTTCTTTCTTTCTCATCTTCATCCTCTCTCATCTTCTTACTTTAATTTCTTCTGCTGTTTCTTCTTTCTTCATCTTCTTCTTCTGCCATCTATCCCCCAATGAAGCTTAGGCCCACACCAAGGAGCAAATCCTTATATTGTATGTAACTCACTCTTTGTCTTCCCCATCATTATAACTTCACTATCCAGCTCCCTTCTCTGTGTGTTTATTGGTCTGCCTTTATCTCTGTACCCCGTGAGTTCCTGTGTGTGTTCTTCATCTACTGCTTATTTCTTTTTTCCATCATACATCCTCAGATGTTAGTATGACTACTGTTTATATAAAAATAACTGCTTTGTAGATTGTCCCAGTTGTCTTACAGATTATCTTTGTAGTTAGTGCACTTGCTAACCAGCACAGCAACTCTAGGCTGTGTGCTCTTATAAACTGAGAAGACCTAAAATAAATGGGTTGAACTGGTAAGGAGACTGTAAAGTTACATCAAATAAATCATTAGAAACAGAAAGTGAGAAGGTATACTTCCCAAGAACACAATCCCAGGTGATTAAATAGATGTTTCTGCTAGAAAGCCATTATCAGCAAGCAAAAAGAGGTGTGAAATGGGTAAAAATATAAATATTTGGTTTTAATCACTGGTAAGCAATATCAGCATGAGCTGGGGCTCCATTTTTGGGGGAGGGGTGTTAGAAAAGACCCACTGTCCTCTAAAAAGCATGTCGTGAATAGTGACTTTTTAGTGTTGGCTGAAATTGTATATATTGTGCCGAATGGTGAAAATATCACAGTCTGGCTGTAAACAACAACACTGCACTTTTCTTATCCTGTGTGAGTTCCAGACCCTTTATAGGGAAAACAAAAAAGTTGTAACAGCCGACTAATTAGGAGCTTCCTTCAAAGTCAGAGTGCATCTGCCTGATAGGCAAGGAACCAGCAATCTGCATACAAATGAGTCAAAACTGCACACGCAACACTCAGGTTTTAAAATAGGAATGTAGTCCAGAAGTGGATGAATGACCAGAACTTTCCACCAGAGTTTACAGTTGGTGAACGCGAAGAAGAAGAAGATAACAGTTACTTTTTCTATCCTGTGAAATCTGATAAGGATCTTTGATCCTATGAAATTTCATAATAATTACCGGTACAATGTTTTTTACCTACCTCAAACACAGGGAATCCGTGGAAATTCCACAGCTGACTTGACAATCCACTATTTCAAGGGATGCAAGTGTGCTGATGCTGTCATTTCTCTTCTAGTTTTTTTTTTTTTTTTTTGGTACGGCAAATATCTGTCTGTTGGTGCGCAGTCGGCTGCTAGTTGATGCGCAATTGTCCGGTGTACAATACTGGTCATGTTTTTATATTATTTTGTCATGTGGATGTGCAGCTTAGTTGATATATCCGCCTTTTAAATGAAAAGTGCTGCGTTCAATCCCTGCATGACTTCATTTTTGTGTGTGGTAAATTGTTGTTGTTGTTGTTTTGTTAATTAAATGTAAATTGTTTGTTTTTTTTAGCTATCCTCCGAATAACTGTCCCAAATTATCGAAGTCGAAAATATACCCTACCAGGGCCTCAGCAATTGCGGACCTCTTTCTGGCGACTTTGCCGCCACCACCGAGAGCATCGCCTGCGCCGCACATAGGGAGCTAAACTAGATGGCTGGGACTCATGAGGAAATAAAAAGGAGGAAGCTGCAGGATATGCCGTAGCTGCTGCTCGTGAGTCCCAGCCATCTAGTTTAGCCCCGTTCCGCGGCGCAGGGGATGCTCTTAGCAGTGGTGGTATAGTCGCCAGAAAGAGGCCGTAATCTGCCGTACGGGTATGTCCAGATGACAGGTGGACTTTCAACACCGGCAAACGGTCGTGTGTCTTTCTGACAGCGATAATACACCATCTATCTGACGAACGTCTGGTTCTGTACAGGATGCTAAGCTGTTGCAGGAAAGCAATGCAGGTCTCATTGTCTCGTACAGATGCTACTAATTGTAGAAAATTCATGGCTGGAACGAACGGCAAACAAAGATGAAAACTGCTGCAACCAGACGCGGCAAAGATAAAGACTGCTGATGCGCGGTAAACACACTACATAAGAGGCGCCAACAAGCGAGCGCTTTTGCGATGCACTCTAGAAAAGAAAAATCCCCCCAGCCTTAACACCCTGAAAATTATCTGAATGTCTCCCGTGATGTTATCGTGACATCGTGGGGTAAGTTAAAATTATTGTACCTAATTACCTACCCTAATAACCTCAGTAGTATAGCGGCTTGATGCTCACTGTGGGCCAAAGATCATGGGTTCAAATCCGTATCGAGTTGGATTTTCTTTATAAATGACCTTGGCTCCCAGGTTGACCCAGCCTAAAATGGGTTGCAGATAAAGTCCTGAGAAGTAACGATGGCTGGCGTGATGTTGACCACACCATCAGTCGAGTGACGATTGATCTACAAAATTGGTCAAGCAATAACTATGTACGTAATATGTTAAAAGTGTGGAAAGGGGTCCTTTACTTTGATAGTAGCAATTACTTTTCGTATCCAATGACTGTTATAACAATTACTTGTTTCATCTGTTTCCTAGGATTCGACATGTAGGGTCAAAATGTGTTCTGATCACAAACAGTGGTTATGAGTACACCAATGTAAGTATGCACAACCTGTATCAGAACAACAGAAAAACATTTGTGGAAGAGCTCAGATACAATATTGGAAATGGATGAATGATTGAATGAAGGGTAAAACTGGTTTAAAGGATGTTTTAACGTTCTTAGTTTCAGCAGGTTTCACAGCAAATGCCTAAAGGGGAGGATGGAAGAAAAACAATAACCATTATGGCACATCAGCAGAGTGCACTACTTTTGACACGGTTCACAGTGGAAGTGGTCATTGGAAAAACTCAGTTCCTTTAGTTTACCTCCTTTTCTTTTTCTTTGATTTGTTTCACATAAGTGGTCTATATCTGTGCTATTGTGATAATACTCTTAACGTACAAACTAAGAAAACACATACTAAAAAGGAGAACATTTATTACCTGTGTTTCCTTTACAAAACATTGCAGAACCAACCCTAGTATTTCACTGGGCAATTTTATGTTCAGTAGTTTGTCATTGCTTTCTGAACAGTTGGCTCTCAATGCCACTATTGAAACCAACACTAGATGGTCTGCTGCCATATCGCCAGCAGCTGGGCTCAAACATGGCACCTCAGAATTATGAAACGAGTTTGCAATGCCTAAGCCACAAACACCAATCAAATAAAAAGGCTAACTACGAAATACTGTTTCTTAGAGCTGAAAGTGGTCAAGTAAAATGCATGTATAAATAAAATAAAAACGAATTGTTAGTTAACCATTTTGACATTGTAGCAGATTGGAGATTTTGTGTGAGACCCATAATTTCTGAAGTTTAACCACTCGAGAGTGATGATAGAGTCAGGATCCTGTCAGATTTCTCAAAGATTTTTCATAAACATATTGCTGAGACTACCCTCAGAGCCGCACTTCTTAGGAAGATCCTCATTTATCTCCTACCCTTTTTCCCTACTGGAACTTTTGTCAAGAAAAAGCTGATGCATTCGTCACTTGAGATTAGAAAGATTTTCCATGTGTTTTTTTGCAGAAATGGCTAGGAGGACTCTCTGAAAAATGAGTTTAAGAATTCGTGTAGTTATTCTTGCAGTTACATCAAAATCATATCACTTTTTTTTTAATTATAATTTTTTTATTTGGAGTAACACAGATTGGGACTATTTTCTTAAACCAAAAAAAAAAAGAATATTTTATATTTCTCACTTTAGCTTTATAAGTATTTTATGGGTGCAGCCTTTTGATTATGAACTATTTTATTGGTATATGTTATTTCAGTCAGAATTTGTGCACGTCTGCACATCTTCAGAATTGTCAAATTATACTGGAAATTACACAGAACGGTTGTTCAATTTGGCCTCTGACACTCTTTCCCCACACATATACTCTAATACTTTCTCTTTCACACACATGTGATTTTGGATGTTTTAGCTCCCCAAAGCACCCTCCCCTTTTCCCCCCACTCATACATACACATGCGCGTACACACACATATGCACTAATACACACTTTCAGTAATTGTATGTCCTTATACTTTCATAAATGACCTTGGCTACAAGGTCAACCCAGCCCAAAGTGGGTACAAGGTAAAGTCCTGGTAAGTAAATGTGGTCGGCATGATGTTAACCACATCACCCACTAAGTACCAATTGGTCTATAAAATATATATATTGTGGAGAAGGGTTCTTTACTTCACTGTACTTTCATATGTTCGTGTAGCTGTACCAAAACCTTTCTTGGTTGAAACAAACTTATTGTTTTTGAGAAACATCTGTCATATTAGAACATCCAGTTGGTGATCATTTTATAACGGCTGCTGATTATATTACCTGAAATATTTTCTGTAATCTTCTTCTTCTTCTTCGCGTTCACCGGCTGTAAGCTTCGGTGGAAAGTTCTGGTTGTTCATCCACTTTTGGACCCAAGTCCTGTTCCAGAACCTGAGTGTTGCGGGTACATTCACCGGTCTGACTCATTTGCATGCAGACTGTTGGTTCCTTGCCTCTCAGGCAGATGTACTCCGTCTTCGAAGGAAGCTCCCAATTAGTCGACTCTCACAACATGCTTTTTGGCAGGCAGTAGGTCTATTCTTGGTTTCTCCACAACTGGGCCCCGGTGATTCTGTAATCTATTTGACCACATTATTAGCTGTGACTGCAATTCTTTTTTTAATGCTAAGTTCCTTTTCTTCTTAATTTTGTTTTATTTATCAAAAATAAATTTACTAATGAGATTATGCAGTTTATATAGACTGTTTTGTCCTGTAATGTTTATTGTAATTTTATTGATGAGAATATTAATACGTGTGCAATATTCTCCCCAGAAAATAATGGAGTTTTTGTTGGATTTCCCAGAAACAGTAAGCCATTTTTTGCCATAACTTAATTGAAGTGTGATGTCTGAATTGTTTAAAAAAATTGTTCACTTCCCTCCTTATTTTTATACTAAAGGGAATAGCAAAATCATTATCTCAGTAATTTTGTTAACTGTTTCTCGACAACACAGTTACTGGATTTCACAGGGACATTTGTCACTTTAAAGAATTCCAAGACATATTTGAGCTGCTGCCCACGTCTTGGCATAATTATTGTGCCTCTATCCCCCGTGTACATACATAGAGACACCTCTTTCTTAGTATTAAGTCTGCAGCAGAATCACAGAATGAATGAATCAACACACAATGTCATGGCAAATTTAGCAGTGGAAAGACACACAGGTGCAAGCAAATATTTCAGAAACTGTTATCAACAAATAAAATTACATGACAAAAATCATTTAGCTACAAAACTAAACTAACATAATCACACACAAAGGGAACCCATAAGAAAAATGTATAAAATAAAACATTTAGTTTTCTAGTTGTGTGTTGTGTTCAACAGTCACCCATATTTTCTGCAGCAAATGCAAACTTTTCAGCTGTCCAAAATCCCAGATGGACAATATTACCCACTTTAGGAACCTTTGCTTTAAAGTAACACGGCCATAAAGTGTTAAAGTTAAATCATTAATTTACAGAAACCTTTGCTATGGCCTTTCTAAACATATTTTACTTCTTCTTAGCCTTCACCAGATATGGCTTATGTGTCTGCAGACTGTTGGTTTCATTGAATCTCAGGAAGATGCATTCCATTGTGAGGGAAACACCCCTATTGTAAAATGCTCGTTGGGAATGGGGGGGGGGGGGTTAGTGAATTTATGCTTTGTTTTCCAAAATGGAGACCTGATAACTCACACAGGGAGAACATATTTTACAATAATGTGTTATTGAAATTTTCATTGTGGCTCTTTTCATTTGTGTGCACCTTTTTTATTTGTAGTATTGGTAATTATCACGATAGTTATCCCCATCTTGCTCTTTTGCAAGACTTTGTGTCGGCTCTCATTCATGTCATGCCAGTTCCCACGGGCTGTCCTATGTTCTAGGGATGTTATATAAGATGTCTATACACTGAGCGCCAAAAAGTGACTGGCGTTTGTTCGACAAGGTCAATACATGGTTTTACAAACGCAACTGCGCAAATTTCTTTCCGCTACTGCCTGTTTTGTGAACGAGTATTATTTCTGGATGGGCAGAAGATGCAGAGGCTGACATCTACTATGATATAAAGATGTGTGCAAGCGGGACATGAATGATACATGTATTGAGGTGAACTCATGGTGATAAATGCCATGGACCACTTTGTGTAGAGGGGCAAATCAGGAAAGGAATGAGAATGAAGGAAGAAATGATTGCAGAAAGGATGAGAGCTGAGCGTCTGAGAAGAAACAGACTAAACACAAATGTTGACAACAGTAGTCCTGAAATCCCATGCTATAACTGGAAGACTGTTTTTGTTTACACGGGCGGGTCTTGATAGTCACACTCGCCATCGCCATAGGCTGTGGGTCCCATGCCTCAAAGCCCAGTATAATACTGTCATCTGGTAAGATGGAAAGATGCCGATCAGTTATTTCTGGAATGTGTTGTTGCTGTCAGTATGTCAGGCACTTGTGTACAAGGAAGAAGTACTGACTGCAGGGGGAAGCGTCAAAGGTGCAACTATTCGTGAGTATCGAATCATTAATGGTTTTGTATTTTGATGCTCGTTGGTGGTGGCTGTTGTTGCTCTTGGATGTGCTTAAAACCTTCACAAGAAGCAAAACCTGATACCCCTAGTACATAGGACAGCCTGCGGAAACTGGCACGATATGAATTGGAGCTGGCACGAAATCTTGCACAAGAGCGAGATGGGGTGACTTTCGTGATTAGTACCATAGTATGTTTCTAGTTTTTCTTAGAGATATGTTAATGAGCATTGTAGATCATTGCTAAATCACTTTTATGTAATTTATCTGTAGATGTATCATTGTTTATTTGTTATTGTATGCTGAGGAAGTCTTTCTAGTTGCAACATTTGTATTCTAATTCCTGATTGTATTCTGGGAAACGACAACTTCTACTTTCAGTTTAGGTCACAGTTTTCATGGACATTTATGTGAGAGTGACATTTGCTTGCTGTTCAATGTGTAAAAATGTTTATGCAAATATATTAATGCTGGATTTTTTCTTGTCATATTTTGTTTAAATTTATACAATTTCAATGCAGCTTTTTCATTAACTTTTTTGTTACTTAATTTCAGCATGGAAAAAGGCACTGGACAAGTTATTGGGACTGTGTCATAGTTGATGCGGCCAAGCCGTTGTTCTTTGAAGATGGGACCATTTTGAGAAGAGTTGATACAGTAAGTTAGGGCTTTGTACTGTCCAAATAATTGTTGTAAAAATATTTGTTGCTAGCTTTACTGCAACATTTTGAACTAGAATGTAAATACGATTATTATCAGTTATGAAAAAAAAACATGCGCTTGCACTCAAAAACTGACTCACAAAAAGGTACAGCCAAACACAACATTTGTACATAATGTATTGGTGCACTGGCCAAGCCACTAGTTTTGGGGCAATTAATATTTCTCAGCCAACAAAATTGGCACAAAGTAACCAGACCACAGTTATAACCAATACTGGCGCAGTAGGTTTAACATAGTCACTTTTTTGTTTTGTTTGGTGGTTCTGTCTGCTTCCTCAGAATCTGTTCAGTATATTGTTGTCTTCTTTGTTTTATGACTGTTGATATCTGTGGCTGTCCAGGTTTTCTCATATATGACTTGATATCTGTGGCTGTCCAGGTTTTCTCATATATGACTGTTGATATCTGTGGCTGTCCAGGTTTTCTCATATATGACTGTTGATATCTGTGGCTGTCCAGGTTTTCTTGTATATGACTGTTGATATCTGTGGTTGTCCAGGTTTTCTCATATATGACTGTTGATATCTGTGGTTGTCCAGGTTTTCTCATATATGACTGTTGATATCTGTGGTTGTCCAGGTTTTCTCATATATGACTGTTGATATCTGTGGCTGTCCAGGTTTTCTTGTATATGACTGTTGATATCTGTGGTTGTCCAGGTTTTCTCATATATGACTGTTGATATCTGTGGTTGTCCAGGTTTTCTCATATATGACTTGATATCTGTTGCTGTCCAGGTTTTCTCGTATATGACTGTTGATATCTGTGGTTGTCCAGGTTTTCTTGTATATGATTGTTGATATCTGTGGTTGTCCAGGTTTTCTCATATATGACTGTTGATATCTGTGGTTGTCCAGGTTTTCTTGTATATGACTTGATATCTGTGGTTGTCCAGGTTTTCTCATATATGACTGTTGATATCTGTGGTTGTCCTGGATTTCTCGTATATGACTGTTGATATCTGTGGTTGTCCAGGTTTTCTCATATATGACGTGATATCTGTGACTGTTCAGGTTTTCTCATATATGACTGTTGTTATCTGTGGTTGTCCAGGTTTTCTCATATGTGACTGTTGATATCTGTGGTTTTCCAGGTTTTCTCATATATGACTGTTTATATTTGTGGTTGTCCAGTTTTCTCATATTTCTTCACTTTGTTATTTGTAAATATCAACCTAATTTGTTCAATCATCAAGTAACAAGTTGTAATCATTATTTAAAAGTATTTTTGTAATGCTGCATGAAAACCGTTTTTATTCTGCAGACTACAGGATCTCTAAGTTTAGGCCGTCACTTGGGGCCCATCAAAAGTGGAGAAATTTACTCAGGGGGTAAGAGATGATAATTTATTCTATGGGACCAGAAGTAGAACAATCTAACATTTAATTTGTTTACACCGCACTAGTAAGCATTAAGCAGAAATTCATAATTTGATTTAATACATGTTCACCTGTTATCCTAGTACTAAGACATTCTTCTTATCATTTAACATTTATTTCAGTAGTTTTCTGTGCACATTCTGGTGAAGTGCTACTTTTGGTAAACAGTGATAGTTTTCTTCTTCTTCTACTTCTTCTTTTTCTTCTTCTTCATCATCATCTCACTGACACTAGGTTTTAGCCCTGTGTTTGGTTTTGTGTATTTGTCATGCACTTTTCGGGAGACTTGGGTGATGGATTTATTAATCTTTTTGCAGGTTTCACCGACACCATTTATCCATCTCTTTCTTGGTCTTTCTCTCACTCTCCTCCAAGATGTTCTACTGTTAAAAAGTCTCAAATGCAGTCTGGTCTGGCTGCATTCTCACTAGATAGTTGAACCTTTTCATTCTTTGCCTGTCAATATAATCCAAACATGGTCTTATTTCAACTTTCTCTCTAATACAGGTATTCGTAACCCTGTTTCTTCAAGTGTTGGTAGTGACCTTGCAGAGAAAGCCCATTTCACATGTATTTTTTTTTTTTTCTGTTCTAGTGTAAAGGTTTAGCTAAAGAAATTCCCTGATAGTATATGTAACAAATAGCTTTACATTTATAAAGTAGAGGAAATAAGTAGGAAACAGGAAGATACACTAGCGCAGATATCCCAGCCATGCTGTAAACGGGCACAACACAATTATATTTTCAGATGAAAGCCGAAGAACAAAGTAGAGACAGGAGGAAACAGTATAAGCGATAACTGTAGCTGTTGATTTTTATGTCTACTACTTTCTTCTGCATTTCTAAGAGCCGTTCAATACATCACAATTTGCTAACTTACTATTTCAGCGGGCTCAAGGGTTCCCTACAGATTTATTAATAACTAGGACCTTTTTAAAACCTTTACAATCAGCTATAAAACGTAGACCTGCACTTTAAAGGAGGTACATGTATTGAAAATGAGATAATTTCTTAAGGTCCCTAGTAAATCATATAGAGACCACATCGCAGATGATGACGTTCATTATCGTCACTCAACGCAAAAACCACTATTGGTTCAATGCTGAATTTTTCAATTAGACTTTGTTCCTTAATTTAAATTAGTTGCAGAATGCATTTGTCTTTTATAATAATTAATTTGCTCTTTATCAAACAGATGATGAGAAAATGTAACTTAAGTTTTTTTTTTTAAATATGTATTCACTTTGATTATGACTTTTCAAAGGATCTTGTGAAGTGGTATCACGTCTGCTAGGAGCTAGAGGTAGTGATGTATTGTATGTTGGAGATCACATTTTCGGGGACATTCTCAAGTCAAAGAAAATCAGGGGCTGGAAAACATTTCTCATCATCCCAGAACTGTCCATGGAGCTGAAGGTGTGGACTGAGAAGAAACAACTGTTTGAGAATCTCACTAGGATCGAAATAGCTCTGTCTGATATTTATAGGTAAGATGATGCATTGTTGTTTTTGCAGGTCAGCAGTAAAAACCTGCCCTTATTTAAGCAGATAAGTGAATGTCAATGCTGTGTGTCATTGGGCATCATTTATCTCCACAGCCATTTGTATTACCTACTGCCAGTCATTTCTGATAACCTTTTTTCCCCCCTTGGTTTCCTTCTGCCTCTTTTCCACTTCAGTTTTTCCATAGGCACTAAGCACTTACTCCACTGTTTCCCTTCTCATGGTGTACCCAATGAATGTGGGCAGTCCTCTCTTTATGAGTTATTTCCTTCAAATTCTGTTCATTGCACTGTTAATCTTTTTTGTTGTTGTTGGCACCTATCTTTCTTTCCAGATGATAGCATTATGGGGGGGGGGGGGGATCACGACCATTTAAGGCCTTTGATAAAGTTCCACCTCTCCATGCATAAAGCACTGGCAGCATTATAGAGGTCATGTGTTGCCTACGCAGCGTGAACACTGTCTCAGTCTGCCTTGTTTACGCCGCAGGAAAGATAACACCAGTAAATTTGGAACAAAACCTGTTATAGTCAGGTAAATGTGCAGTCATAAAAATTCACTGATAAATTAATAACACAAGCCCAGACAATATTGGGCATACAAAAGTTACATTAAAAAAAAGAAAAATACTTACCTGATGTTGATCGGAGATGAACATAATCAATGGTGATACCACTGCCAAAGAAAGTAAATGAGAAAAGCTGCAACAATTATAGAACTATTAGTCTTATCACCCTCACAAGCAAAATAATGCTAAAGATCACGGATTGAAAGCAAAATCTGGAGAAATATTAGCCGAAGAACCTACCAACATACAGATAAAATACTAGAAGAAGTTGAAACCTTTAAATACTTCAGCTCCCACATATGTAACGATGGCAGATCTACGGAAGAGATCAAGACAAGGCTTTATATGGCAACAGCTGTGATGTCCCAGCTTACTACGATGTTAATGAGCAAAATCAGCATTGCAGTAAAGGTGACTATATACAGATCACTTCTGTGGTCTGTTTTCTTATACGGATGTGACAGTTGGTCTGTAAATGCTATAGATGCATTTATCAGTTAGTTATTTAGAACATAAAATTAACAAAAATTTCAGAGACAAAATATACAAATTTTCAAGAAATCAAGAGCCTCTCTTGGCAATTGCAAAATGTTGCAAGCTAGCTTGGTGGGGGGGGGGGGGTGTTTAAGAAGACGCGGACAAAGAAAAAAACAAGAACCTGGAATAACAACATCAAGAGATGAACAAAGTTATCGTACACTTGTTCATCAAGAGGAAGACAAAGAAAGATGGTGGGTTTTGTGTGTTAGTGCTTCCATCAATTCCACCTTGATGACTCTAATGGGTCAAGGATTATGTTAAAAAAAGCTACTGCATGTCCAAATGTATTAGTACAATTAAATACAAATGTTTTCATTTTCTGCTAAATATTGTCTGTGTGTGTGTTGTTGTTGTTGTTTTTTTTTTTCTCTTTCCTTTAAACATCAATGAATGAATACATTTAAAAACAGATGTTTTCATTTTATACAAAACACTTTTTCCCCTTAGACATCTGGACAGTAGCACAGACCAGAGGCCTGACACATCTAACATTAGCCATTCCCTCAGGGTAAGATAGTGTTGCATTGTTTTTAAGTTTGCTTCATCATAGCTTTCAAGAAAGAAATGGAAAGGTGAGAGAGGGAATAAGATATATCAGAATAAAATGAGAGGGGGGAGCTAAACATAAAACAGAGAATTTAAAAAGATATTTCATTTATGTAATTGGATTAAGTAGTAGAAGCATTTAGAAAAAGCACTGAGATCCTATTTAAGTTTGGTGAGCCAAAAGGTAACGATCAGAAAGTCATTTAAAAGAAGAAAAAAACTTTGCCGCCTAATGATATGGGAACCATCATGGTGTAGTGGCTAGGCCTGCAGATCAGGTTCTGATAGAGCTGGACTTCTTTCAAAAATGACCTTGGCTTCTAGGTCGACCCTGCCTTTAATGGGTACCAGCTGCAGTCTTGGAAAGTAAAGGTGGCCGGCATGCTGTGGAACACAATACCCACCAAGTGCTGATTGGTCTGTAATTATATGTCAAGCCTTAAATGTCCTATATGCCTGATTGTGTAGAAAAGGGTCCTTTGCTTTACACATTATAATATAAATGAATACAGTGAAGCAAGTAATTGGAACAGTAATTTTGGTCATCACATGTACCCTTATTTTGCATTGCCATGTTGTTTCTTCCATAGTTTACCGGCATCTAATGATGGTGACACACCTTGAATGACTTGCTGAGTTGGCAGTTGTATGTGGCTAAGGAAGTGTCATTGTAACATGAAAACTGTTTAGTGTTGGGGGGAGGGGCAGGAAACATGGTTTCAGTGGCAGTTTCTGCATCGTAATGGAAGAGTTTCCAGTCTCACCACTATGAGCAAACTGCAGGCAACAAACTATTTCTTATACATGATGGAGAGGGGAAAGTTAGTTAGTTGACAGATTAGCCTCATTGTATATCAACCCATTCTGTCCCTAAGTGCTCAGATCCCCTCTGTAAATCCCGGGGCGTGTAGCGGCTGAGACACCCATTCTGTGTTCGTTTCTTTTACTTTTTTTTTCCTGTTTAGTGCCCTTGTCTGGCCACATACCTTTTAACATGCTGTTCTTGTAGTCTGGTCATGGTTGCAGAGTAAAAATCATCACTTTGTTCTCACAAACGTCTCACTTCTTCTCACAGAGCATTTAGTCTGTCGGGAGAAGGGAAAACCAAAATATACAGAACAATTGTTAATGTCTTATTCTCACAGGGAGCCTACAAGAACATAAATAATGTGTGATAGTATGATATATGTGTGTGAGTGTGCATGAGAATTTGCGTGAATATATATAAATTTTCTTTGTACAAGCACTCTTTATGTTTAATCATATTTAGTAGAAGTGACAAATGTAATGTAATATACTCTTAAATTAGGCACAAGTTACGAGTAACATCCTGGAGTTATGGTTGGGGGGTATATGTGTGCATTATATATATGTGTGTTTGTGTGTGTGTGTATAAATATATATTATATATATATATATATATATATATATATATATATATATATATATATATATATATATATATATATATATATATATATATATATATATATATATATATATATTTTAAAGATGAGGACAGAGCATTTATGGGAATGTTTTGAGTGTTGGTGATGTCAGTTCTTAATTCAACATTCAACTGGTTTTGTCTCCACACAAACCTGACAGATATTCAGATTAACCACATGTTAAATTAAATAAAAGATAAAACTATGGGTGCTGAAGATTTCAGTTCTGTCCATCAAAATTGAATAAGTGCATTTTCCTTGTATTTTTCTTTGTTTAACTATTTGCAGTTTTTAATTAGTGACCCAGGGCGTGAAGCCTACAGTTGGTACCAGGATGAGTCCTCATGACTATAAGTGGATGACATGATGTTTTAACCATATCACCAGTTGTGTACCAATGGGTATAGCATCATATACCTGATGCACTGGTGGCTAATAAAGCATTCTTGACCTTTTTTTTTTTTAAATTGTTTTAACCTTCACCTTTGTAGAGTAAAATGAAAATGGACAAGTTTGTATTACTGAGAATTAAGTGCACCTTTTATTATGCTCTAAAGTTCATGTTTCAGGTTTTTTCTAAGTGTTTTTTGTGCCTTTCTGATTCATCAGACTGTGGTTCATGAGCTAGACATGTCTTATGGAATGCTTGGAAGCCTCTTTAGAAGTGGTAAGTCCATTATCATTTTTTTTTTCTGCTGTTTAAAATAACAAGACATAATTCACATTGTCAACATACTAAAGCATATTTAAATGTCCACCAGTATAAATTTACTGAAAATTATAATTGGAGTAATAGAACAAAGAGTGTTGGCAAAAGAAAAGAAAAAGAAACAAATATAATTACATTTTGCCTTGCCATGTTCTTAGTATGCCACTCTCTGGTGGTAGAGAAATGCATCTTGTATGACTTACTGTGTTGGCAGTTATGTGCTACTGACGAGTTCAGCTGTCAGATACATGCAAGCCTTTGAGCCCTGCACAGACTGCACCACCTGCCTCTCTGGTTGATGGGGGTGTCCCAGCTTAAAGATGTTCACTTGCCAGAGGAGTTACACTTCAGTGGGTGTAACATTTAAGTATGAGTTAATTAATATGGGATTTATGTGTGAATAGGAGTTACATTTAAGTAGGTATTAATTTTAAGAAAGAGTTAATTTTATATGGGTGTTATGTGTGAATAGGGGTTACATTCAAGTAGGTGTTATTTTTAAGTAAGAGTTTATTAATATGGGAGTTCTGTGTGTGAATATAAGTTACATTCAAGTAGGTGTTGCCTTTAAGAAAGTTAATTTTTAATGTGAGCTATATATGTATAGGAGTTACATTTAAGTAGGTGTTACTTTTAAGAAAGAGTTAATTTTATTTAAGAGTTATATGTGAATAGGAGTTATATTTAAGTAGATGTTACTTTTAAGAAAGAATTAATTTTATATGGGAGTTATCTGTGAATAGGAGTTACATTGAAGTAGGTGTTAGGATTTAATTTTTTATAAGGTAGATGTTATTATTTAGGAGTACATTTTTCAGGGAGTTAATGAAGATGTTACTTTAAGTATGACTTAAGTTTATGCAGAAGTTGCATGTGAATGGAAGATACACTTAAAGACGCATTACCTTTAATTAGATGTTTGTTTTTTTAGGAGTTGTATTTAAGCAGGGGCTACATTTAAGTGAGTATTACATTAAATTGAGAACTGCTGTATTACGGTGGCTAAACACTGACATGCCTGCCTCAGGGTCTTGAGGTCAGATCCCTTTTTTTTCTGTGTGGGTTCCAGGGCCCCTTTGGGGGGGGGGGGGGGAGAGACCCACTGCCCTGTAACAAGCATGTTGTGAGAGTCGACTAATAATTAGAATTGTTTGCTTTGAAGTCAGGCCTGAAGGAATCAACAGTCTGCATACATATAAGCCAGATCTGTAAAACAGATGTGCACACACAACTCAGCTTCCAGTAGTGGAAGAAGAGCCAGAACTTTCCACCCAAGTCTACAGTCGGTGAGCGCAAAGAAGAAGAAATCCCCTTTAACATGACTTGTTATTTTGTATTTTTAACTGACCTAAGTCGTCCTAAAATGGGTGCCAGGTAATGTCTTGGGAAACAGAGATGGCCGGCTTGATGATCACCACATCACTGATAGAGTAATCATTGGTCTATAAAAGTCTAGCAATATCCCTATGCATCAGAGGTGTGAAAAGTGTCTTTTTTTTTTTTTTTTTTTTTTTTTTAAACTTTACTTATTATATTAAAGTTGGAGTTACTTTTAACCAGACATTATGTCTAAGTGTGAGTTATATTTCAACAAACATTTTATTCAAGTAGATATAACATTTAACTAGGAGTTATATTAAAGTAGGCATTACATTGAACTAGGAGTTATATTTAAGTAGGCATTACATTGAACTAGGAGTTATATTTAGTTGGGTATATCATTTTACTAGCAGTTATTTATGTATAGTTATATGATTTATATTTATTTAATATGAGTTGTATTTAAACAAGAGGTATATTTCAGTAGGTCCTGTGTTTGTTGTGTTTTAAAAAAGAAGCCACAATAGTTAGTGTACTTGCTTTAAAAGTCAGTGGTCTGGGTTCGATACCCAGCAGTGCCACAGCTCCATTTTCTAACCACTACAGGTCTGGGATCTCATAAAAGCCTCATTACATTAGTGCCTGATAATTTAAAAAAAAAAATTAATGGCTAGATATTTGCTTCCTAGCCTAAAGGTCTAGTGTTTAAATCCATGTGTAGTAAAAAAAAAAAAAAAACAATGGCTTAGCATCATGTACCTGATGCCTCACTGGCATGAAAAGGGTCCTTTCCTTTTTTTCCCCCCATCTTGCTGAGAAAAAGAGTTAACATTCGAATGTAGTTACATATAAGTAGATATTTTCAAAAGACTGCTGTATGTACTGTTGAGTGTCCATAGACAGAAGGGTTAAGAAGTGAATATCAAATTTTACCCTGTTAACTCACTTGGCTTTCTAGAGTCTGAGCTTTCTACAGTGTCTACACTTATCTTGCATAGCACTTAAACATAATGAAATCAAACAGGAAATCTATTTCTTCTTTGAATGTTCTGTACTCATCATAAATATCATTTGTTTTTGTTTGCTATTCAGTGTCCGTGTGTGATAATTTATTCTAAGAAGTTACAGTATACAGGTCTTGCATTTAAGTAGTCATATATTTGGTAGGATTTGCATTGCAAAATAAAAGTAGGAATTTGACACAATTTTTTTTCCAACCAGTATGGCCCTGAGTTTGACCCAGCCTTGTAAAAATTGATTCCAGATAATTTCAGAAATGTTCTTTGAATTTTCTTGTTAAAAAAATGATAGGGAAGAAAAAAAAACATTTTAAGATTTGAAGAGAAGGAACTTTGTTTATATGTGTCATTTTATGTTTAGTCTTAAAATTAAATGTCGGCTCTCTGGCTAAGTCGATGCGAATGCTTCGTAATGCCAGGATGCCATGTTCGATCCCAGCTGCGGGCTATGCGCCTTGCGTTGATTTTGACAGTGGAATCAAGAAAGCTGACCGTCCAGAAAGCAGTGGCAAACTACTGATTGTAAATTTGCCTAGAAAAACCACACAACAGCCACTGGCTGTGGGGGTTTGTTCTGCAACATCCTGTAAAGGATACGCAACTAACCTTAATATTTAATAATACTGTATAATAATGTTTAAAAAAAAGCGAATAGATACTGCACAAGATTTAATAAGATCCATATGATAATTCAGTTAATAATAGGTATGTTGATAGCTTAATTCCATTTTTTTTAAACACTGGCCTGTCCTTTTAAAATACCTAAATGTGGAACCTTTTCAGATGATTGTTTTCTTTAGAAACTGTGTCAGTGTTCATCTAATAACCTCCAGTTATAGCTATTTTAACATGAAGAAGTGACCAGTTTGAAAAGTCTTTGATTTCATTTTCAAATATTAGGATTGGGAACACTGGTTAATTTTTAATGTGGCTCAATCAGCTTTGGTGAAAATATGAGCCTTTCCTATTCTGTTAGCGTTGTCTGCTTTAGAAAGGCTTGTATTTTCACCAAAGCAGACAATGCTAATAGAAGGGTAGTGAATTTTACCCAAACTTGCTCTTATTCTTAGGATTTTCATTTGCTTTAATGTAAATTTACAAATAAATTAATATTATTACTTGTGGAGTCATGCTGTAATTAGTGATTCCGCTAATCAACACAGCTGTTGTGGTTTCAAAACAATATATTTGTTAGGTGAACACTTCCTCGTGAATAAATTACCAGTTTCTCTTTGCAAGTGCATTTTACTAGCATGATAATTGGCAACAGCATTCCTTCTTTTGCTATTAAACACACAAAATCCTGGCCTAAAGCCTTAGTGTGTCTTTCTGGCACATAAACTTAGTGAAATGTATTAATATTAAAAATATATTGGCTTAATGTCCCATTATTTTAATGGCACCTAAACTTAGTTTACTTTTATTTAATATGAAAATAAATACTGGCCTAATCTGCCTTGATGGCAACAACAACAAAACAGTCACTTTAAAAAATACTGGTTTAATATCCTATTTATCTCAGTTATAAACCTTAACTTTTGCTGAAACCTGAAAACTTGGCTCAATATGCCAAATTATTCCTAGCAGCACGTAAATATATTTTCTTGTTGCTATTTACACTTTGATTAGTCTGTTCCTTCCTGTCAGTCTGTCTTTTCACTTTTGGGCAATGACTTTTGGTCTATGATTAATGTTAACCATAGAAATGAGTTGGTATGTTTATCTGGAGGATTGCTAACTTGATTACAGTTGCACTTCAGGAACTGTTTTTAAATAATTTTAAATGATTTTATTTGACATACATTTTTTATTTCCTAAATTTATTTATACATAAATAATTTCATTTTGTGCTGTTTTTTTTTTTAAACACATAAATAGTATTCTTGTAAATAATAGTTTATAGATATGAAGCTTAAAGTTTGTCATTATTGAGTTTTAAAAGATATAATTTTGTTTCTGACAGTACTCTTGTATTTCATTGTAGGTTCCAGGCAGACTTTCTTTGCATCCCAAGTGAGGAGATATGCTGATATTTATGCTGCTTCCATTTTAAACCTGCTGCATTACCCATTTTGCTACATGTTCAGGGCTCCAGCTATGCTGGTAAGTAAACAGACAATAATCTCTTTCATTTTTTTCTTCTGCATTTACCCATAGAAGGGTCATCAGCACTTTGTTATGGTTTACAGTTTGGCTGTGATATTTCTGCCTTTTGGCCCAACATATCTAATTTCATTACAAGACATAAAACCTTTTTTTTTTTTTAAATCTAGAAGGGTGGGAAAATTGGAGGGCAAGAGAGCAAGAGGTTGACAGTGATACAATTGAAAAGATGACATCAAGAGATTGATGAACAGCAGTCCTAGAGAGTGTACAACCAAGATAAGAGACAGTATGTTTAGGGTCTGTTGCAGCTAACTTTCTTTGTGGAGATGGCACCGGATCGATTGATTGATCCAGTTTCAGGGAAAATGAGTCACTTTTTACAACATGTTTGTTAAGAGGGTCTGTTATTTTCCCACTATGCTCACAGCCACAGAACCAACTCAGGGATGGTGTTATGTTGTCTGCCTCTATTCTTAGAGGCTTTTGCTTTTAGGAAATCATAAATGAAAAGCCAGACACCACTGCCATAGCAGAATTAAAAAAATAATGAAAGCCAATACCACCAGTTATTCGTCATGTGTTTTTGGAAGGATTCTGGTGTACACACATTGAATACTTATCAGCACTGAAAGAACACACACACACACGTGCATGCACACTGGAGCTACGGAGTTTGTGTGAGTCCGTCTGAGACTCACTGCTACACACAGCACAAAAGGAATGCGTCTCGGAAGAGATTGCTCCTAGGTGGCCTAGGCTAAAGATATAACCCGGCAGGTATGTGACCTAGATGAGACCAATCACGGAAAAGAATGGCATGGTGCATGGCATCTCTAAGGTTTTCATCAAACTGGGGATCAGATTGCTGCTGCCGTAGACATAGAGATAAGGGCACTGACAGATCAGCATTCACGCCTAGAAATCATCATTTACACAGATGGATCTGTGATGCGCAGATCAAGGTCAGCATGGGCATACACAGCACAGAGGATGGGGAAAACAATAAAAGGGGACAGCGACACTTACCAGGCAACTTCGTCAAGCATGATAATGGAGATAGCTCTGTTTCTAGAGCACTAGCATGGGCAGCAGAGCAAACAGTCACACGTGTAGTAATTGTATCAAGACTCCATGTAAATCTTTCAGAAGATAGCGACAGGTGATATGTGCTCTGAATGGGTAGAAAGTATTTTAAAATTGCGCTTAACCTCCCCCACCTGGATCTACACACCTGATCGTGCTGGCATAAAGTGTATTGAGAGAGTGGATCAACTGGCAATCAGTGCACCACTGCATATGGGAAGAAGCATGGACAGAGCAGATATCATCAACGTTCTGTGGACTTGGCTAGTGAATAATAACAAATCTCTGACACTAGCATGATTGCGTGACATGGAAGTAAAAGATGGCCAACCACATCTATACCACCTTCGAGTATGACATAGGAGACATTATAACCAACCTCTTACGGTAACAATTACTATAAGTACCTTGGAGTGGCTGCTGCATCGGAGAACTGAGGACGCATGGGAATGCCTAGTGTGCAGTGACGTTGATTGTGATAACATAACATGCATGCAGGCACATGCACACAAAATGTGAAACATTCAAAAATTGAAACAGGTTTTGTTGGCTAGAACAAAAGAGAAGATGCTCTTGTAGGCTGATAAAAAGGCAGAAGAAGAGAATACTAAAGAAAAGGTAATTTTGTGTGCATAAAGAAAGAGAGGAGTTTAATATGAAATGTAAGAGATTAAAAACCTGGATTGCTTAGCCTTACGGATAGGTTAGGCGGAACACTGACATGATCTGTGATTCTGGTGATTGTGTGGTGTGGCAAAACATGACAGCCTACACTGTTTGGCATTTTTTGAATAAAATTATACCCTTGATGCTCGTGCATAATAATCAATACAAATGTGATTTTGTATTCCCCCCCCTTCACCCCCAATTGTGTTCTAGAGCCTCATTTGGTTCCCCTCAAATGTGTCATAAAAGTTGACTTATTAGAGGTTGCCTTCAAAGTCTCTGTGCATCTGCATGGTTACAAGTAAGCACACAGTTCAGAAAGAAGACTAAAGTCCAAAAGTTCAAAGAGGATGAAAACCAGAAGTTTCTCTTGGAGTTAACAGTCAGTGAACACGACGTAGAAGAAGAAAAGAAGAAGTATTTTTGTCTTGCATCCATGTGGTGTTGGTAATTATGTCTGTCCATGGCCTGCTGTCTTATATACTGTCAGTCATTTAGGAAATATACGTGATGTTAAACCATCCAGCATCTCTCGCAGTCTCTTTTGCCCTTGCTTCTTCTTTAAATTTCCTGTTGTGAGTAATAGAACAACAGTTTTCCCTTTCTCATGATGTACTCAGAGAATGTTACTGATGCATCTTGTCAGTACTGTCAAGTGTGTGTTTTAACACACAGAGAGATGCTCACGTGCACAGAGAGGGGTGAAAGAGAGAGAGAGAGAAAGAGAGAGAGAGAGAGAGAGAGAGAAAGCATAATTATGTTTTTACATTACATTAAGTACATTCAGTAGATACATAATGGGAACCACAGTAGTTTGGTGGCTAGATGCTTACCTGTCTGATGGTCTTGGATTCAGATCCATAAGAAATTTTTTTATAATTTACTTGGAGTTCCCATGTAAGCTCAGCCAAAAATAGCTGCTAGAATAAGTCATGGGAAGTAAAGGTGGCCAGTATGATGTGGACCACATCACAAGTGCTAGTTGTCTACAAACATTATGGGTTTAGCGCCATGTGTGTTGCATCAATTTCACCAAAATGTTTCTCTGCTTCCTCTTCTTCACTTCCTCTTGTACCACTTCAGGTGTCAAGGGAGATATAAGGTTCTGCTTTTTACTTTTTGCAAAATCTAATGGTCAACGATAGGTGCAGGGGAGCATATGATACCACAACATGTAGCTTAACAATGGAGATGGAGGCAGTCACTGCTGCTTTCCACTGGCTAGAGGACATGATATACATACACATGATTGTAAGTGACTCAGAAAGCATGCTGATGAAGATAAGGACAAGCATGCTTTGTGCAGATTGGCAGGTTTAGCTTTGGACTGTCACAGGTGAAAAGCGTTGTCTGGATCTTTTCTCTGAAGTATGCTGGTATGTTGGAAAATGAACATGTGGTCAGATTGCTGGCTGTACACAACTTGCTCGACTACTGATGCATTGTGAGGCAGCCTTGGTTTAAGCCTTATGGGAGCACATTGCACGAGGAGCAAATGGATCAACACAATCTGGTGAAAATGATGCAGCGAGGAATGATGAAGTGATTTGGCCAAAACTCGGCACGTAGAGGAAAAGCAAGATGGACATATAATCAGACTGATGGTGGTGCCATTGGTATTGGAACTTTGTGCTGGCTGCTGAAAATGGAATGAAGCGCTTATGGAAATACCCCAGCTACTGTGATGTTGGTTCTTGGGTCAACTCAGCACTTCTTGCTGTTCTGGCCACCTTGACCATAGACACCTCATGCTGTTGTAAGTTTTTCCAATGTTATCTTTCCATTTTGTTCTTGGTCTACATCATGATCCACATCCTTTTCCTCTTTTGGTGTATGCTTTGTATGGTTTGCCGTTGCAAGCCATTCTCTCTGGGTGGACAAACCATTTGATTTGCTGTCTTAACTCAACTTATTTTTGCGTTTGTGTAAATTTTTCAAATTGAATCCACAGATGCCTCACGAAGCTACTGTTGATCATTATGCTGGCCGTGAGCCTGAACCACAGCCAGTAGTGAGTCGCAGTCGTTCTTCCACCGATACAATCCTAGAAACCCCAACATGCAAGCGTTCACGGGTAAACGAAGATCTGCCTCATGCCTGGGCTGAAACACCACGGGAGATGGTACACATTCATGATGATGGAGACTCGGAAGAGGAGCAGTCTGCGAGTCCATACACTAACGGCAGTCCAGATGCTGAGGAGAAAGTTCAGGTGGCTACATGTTCCGATTAGAACTTCTTACTGGTTCTTTAGGCTGTACTTGTCTTTTATTTATGTATTTATTTATTATTTTGACCAGCCTTGTATCCAAAATATATTATAACTATGATATTATTTTGTCGAATAATAGACTGAAATTAACCGATAGTGTAGTTTTCACATGTTAATCCACATGATAACGATACATTATTATAATGTGATCATTTGTGAATTCCGCTTTTAAAAATCTGCTCTGTAGCCCTTAGAGTCTTACTGTCAGCCATTATAAGAGAAGTGTGGGAGCTGATGTAAGTAAATTGTAAATAGTTCAGAAGGTACTTTTCACCAAATATTTATAAACATACCAGAAGAAATGAATATGGTAGGACTGTTTGAGTTTACTCAGGGGCCGAAATGTTGAAAATGAGGATCGTCACAAGCCAATGGCCCAGCACCCAAAATTTTTTTTTTATTATTACAGTGCATTTGACAGTGATCCGCAGGCCACTTGCTTAACTTCTGTGAGCAGGATTCGACCCCCGGGCCACCAGTTGAATAATTTTGCCTGAATGGCTTCAGTGGATGTCATGTCACATGTGCATTTTGGTGTGTGGGTGTGCAAGGATCAGTGAAAGGACACAATCATGTTTATGGTTTTCAGACACAGTCCCTGTGTGGAAGAGATTGGGGCCTCATCGTTTAATATTCTTTAAGACAGCAGTGAGCAGTGGCCAGCCTCCATTCTGGAGAGATGATACCACAACATATCTTTTTTAAAGATATCAATTGCTAGAATTAAAAAGCAGCAATGAGAACAAAATAGCACAGATATAAAAAGAAGATGTATAAAAATGGAGCAACTATTGATTTACACTCAGATATTTAAAAAAAAAAACACACACAATATAGTTGAAATAATCTTTCTTATCTGTTTGTGGAGGTGGCACATTTTTATTTTATTAAAGATGAGAAAAAAACGTTATTTCTGTGTTTATGAAACCGACACCTCACATACAAATCTTGATGTTCTCTTGGTGTTTTACCTATCATTGCCCCATTGTACCCAGCATGAATTGTGCAAATGCAGTCATGTGATCAGTCTCTGGTAATACCTCAGTTTGCTGTTGTAGTCTTTATTTATGCTGCTACAGTTCTACTCTGTTAAATATTTTAACATCAGATGTGTAGATGTAAGCAGATTTTGATATCAGCGAGAGCTAACTCTTGTGCTTTTAGTGTTCATTTTGATGATCTTTGAAACTTGAGTCTTGTATATCTTATGTTTTTGAAAGATTTTACCATCAGAAATTTGGAACTTTGCATTTCCATCTGTATAATTTTTGTCTGCTAAAGATTTGAATGTGTATTTAAAGTTCTGTCTTTAAGAAATTGTGTGGGCGATATTCACATTTTGAGAATTCATACCTGTTTATGAAAGTTCAGTATCTCAGATGTCTAGATCTTTACACATCCATGTTGGTAATGTTCTATGTGTTAGTTATCCGGGACTTTAAATTCCCATGTTTGTTAAAGTTATGTGTGTCCATTTAGTCTTTACATTGTCAGTTGTGTAAACACAGACATTACAAAAATGTGTGTTCCTGCATTTATAAATGCTCTTGAGGTCTGAAATTTGGATCATTACATATCCGTGTTGCTACAGTTACAGTTATATGTGTCAGATGTGGATCTTTGTCTTCCCATGTTTATCAAAGGTCCATGTATGTTAGATATTTAGCATTGTCATGTGCGTAAAAGTTATTTATGTCAAGACATCAGGATAAGTGTTTTCTTTGTTTTTAAAATGAAATTTCTATGTCACACAAATAGATCTTTACATATACATGTTGATAAAGTTGTGTTTGTCAGTCATGTGGATCTTTCTTTATATTTCCATGTTTATCAAAGGTCCATGTGTGTGAGATATTTAGCATTGTTCAGGTGCTTAAAAGTTATATATATATATGTCAAGACATCAGGATTTGGTTATCCTCTTTTTTCTTTTCTTTTTTTTTTCTTTAAAAAAAATGTCTATATGTCAGACATTTTGATCTTTATCTTCCCATACCTGTCACTATCCATGCATGTAAGATTTTAGCATTGTCACATGTGTTAAAGTTCTGTGTGTCAAAACATAAGGATATGTGTATTCCTTTTTAAAAAATGTATATATCAGACATGTCGATCTTTACATATCCATGTCAGTAAAGTTCTATGTTTCTGATATCTAGATCGTTACTTATCCATATTTATAAAAGTTTATTATGTCAGGCATCTGGATTTTAACATATCCATGTTGGTAAAGTTCTGTGTGTCGGATGTGTGGGTCTTTATCTTCCCATGTTTGTCAAAGTTTTGCACATCAGTTAGATATTTATGTTCTCTTGTGTATAAAAGTACTGTATTACAGGTTGAAAGCTATACATCCCTGTGTTTATTAAATGTCTTTTTGTCAGAGCTGTTTGTAAACATTAGGTTTTGAGCATGTTAGTTCCCTATCTCTGTGTAACTTTTTTATGTCATATTTGTTTTTCCAGGGATTTAAACTGTCAGAAGTCTTAATTAAAACAAACACATACCCTTTATGTTGTTTTGAGATAATTATGGGTATATTATGCCAGCACAATATTTTTTTGGACACAATTCATATGGTCGCTATCACCCAGTCAGCTATACTCTTCCCAGAAAATTTTCTATTACCATTTGTAGACTAGGTTCGCTTGGGAACCTGAGTAACATTTTTAAACATCCTCACCTGGATGAAACATTTGAGCGATGAGTCAGCGAGCAAGAATGCCAAGAGTCTGCATGATTGTGTCAAGTGACTACTGCTGTATTACAACAGTACCTAACTTATTAAATATCATCCTACTTTGTATAAACTTGTCAACCTTAGACCTTATACTGCATTTTGATTATTTGTTTTTGTTTTCTTGAGATATGCTGTAAAAAGTTTATTATGGCCACCAACAGTATTGACACCTCTGCTAATAATTAGTATCTGGAAAAGTATTCCTGTTTTACATAATAAACACTGCATTTGTTCATAAGTCTATAGCATGATGGATTCTGGAAAATCTTCTTTTGCACTCATTGTAAAAGGCGGTTTGCACGTTGTCTTATGGTTTACAGCTAGGCTATGATTATCTGTGCCTTTTCACTGCGTACATCTAGTTTCAGTAATCCTTTAACAAGTTGCCTTTTAGTAGATGTTTTTTAAGATGTAGTCGGTCTTTCCATTTCTTCCCCCTCCCCCCCCCCCCCCCTGAATGGGAGCTTGAAACTTGTGCGGGAGGATTAGGTATAAGCTTTCACAGATTTGATACTTATGTTTGCAATATCTTTGGTAGTGAGTTTCCTGTTGGACCTTTTTCCAAGTGTTCACGCATATTGGGCAGGTTAGCCAATAGTTTATAGACCAATCGGCACTCAGTGGGTGATGTGGTCAACATCATGCCTGCCGCCTTTACTTCCTAGGACTTGACCTAGTACCCATTTAAGGCACGGTGGACCTGGGAGCCAGGGTCATTTTTTGACAAATGTCTGCATTTACTATAAAACATCATATCTAAAGCAATCTGTTTTAGAGGTTTTTAATCGAAAACAAAAAGCACCAACACATCCAGTTTCAACAAACCCTTAATTTAGTTGCCTTTTGCAACATACTTGCCTAGGAGCAATGGTCTATTCTCTCATTCCCCCCCCCCCCCCCCCCCCCACCCCACCACAGTGAGTTTCCAGAACCCACACAGGGAAGGTTAGGGAAAATATTTCACAGATTTTATATTCATATTTGCAGGATCTTTGTTGGTGCGTTTACTGTAACCCATCATATCTAAAACATTGTGTTTTACAGGTTTTCAAATGAAATAAAGAGCATAGAGGAAAATAAACCACATAACTATCTGTTGCTATCATGAATTTGAATTGCTTTATTGAAGCATTAATTTGTTTGACATTATTCATAGTTGTGTATAACATGGTAAAAAGCCAGTTACTTTTTTACATTTTCTTTCAGTATATATATATATATATATATATATATATATATATATATATATATATATATATATATATATATATATATATATATATATATATATATATATATATATATATATATATTAAATTTATTTATTTGTATTTGATTTAGTTGTGAGTTGCAGTTTTCATTTATGGTGTTTTTAAATGCCGTTTTTTATTTAATTCCCCTTAAGAATGATTTTGAAAAAAAAAAAAAAATGTTAGTCTCTTGCGTTTGCAAATGTGGAATATGTGTTCCAGTATCTTTTTACAATAGATTGAAGAAGCAATTGGGAAACATTTCTGATACACATCTTTTTAGGGAAGGGTATGGAATAGTTAACTTTTAACACTTTGAATAAACAACAAATGAGGCATTGATAAAGAAACTCATATCTGATGCACATTTTATGAGGGAATGGTAAGGAAACTTTCATTAAATAAATATCTAGTAAGGACAAAAATATAGGATAAACATGGGAATGTTAAAATTTGAAATATAACCACTATCTGCGTAGTTAATGGTAAGGAGATCTAATATCTGTTTTGTAAGGGAGGACTAAACAAACTGGTATGCATTTTAGGGAAGGGTATGGAATAGTTAACTTTTAACACTTTGAATAAACAACAAATGAGGCATTGATAAAGAAACTCATATCTGATGCACATTTTATGAGGGAATGGTAAGGAAACTTTCATTAAATAAATATCTAGTAAGGACAAAAATATAGGATAAACATGGGAATGTTAAAATTTGAAATATAACCACTATCTGCGTAGTTAATGGTAAGGAGATCTAATATCTGTTTTGTAAGGGAGGACTAAACAAACTGGTATGCATTTTACAAGAGTCAGTTTAACATTCACCATAATACCTTGCAGGATACAGAAACTGAACATGTAATGATTATCTTCTGAAGGAGTGGTAAGGAATTCTAGTGCTTCTGAAGGAGTGGTAAAGAATTTGACAACTAATTCTTATCTAATAA